CTGGAGCTGGCCACGGGGCCACTCCTTCGTCTTTCCTGCCACCTGCCCCCATCTCCCTGCCTTGCCCTGGGATGTCCCCTCTGAGGCACTTCAGCTCCACTCACATGCGGACTTGGGCTGAGGACGTGGTGAGAGCCAATCAGGCTCCCGAGACTGTTGGCTCTGTGGCCGCCTCTGCTCCCTGGGCCTCTGTGTGTCTCGTCCTCTGCCAAGTTATCAAAGGCTCCCCTTTGTTTATCACAGAGTGAGCATGCATGGTAAGTGTGTGATGAGTGTGAGTGGAGCTGACTGTCTCAGGCGTCCTCCCCGCGATAACCCTGAACAGAGTGAAAATCCTGGTCTGCGCCGCAAGGCCCTCCTCCTCACCCGACTCCTGTTCATCCATAAAAACCCAGCACAATTGTCCTGCCCAGCTTTCCTGAGTCGCTGCTGGGCCATCCCCTCCTGGACACCTGGAGTCTGCTGTGTCCCTCCGTGGTCTGCCTGTAAGCTCGGCATAGGGGAGGTCCCACTAACCAAGTGTGGAATGGATGGAGTGGGAAACCTGTGTCCCAAGGCTCACGGCCTTGTCCCAGCTCCTGTTCTGGGGCAGGGGGTGCCCAGCTTGTTTTTCCCTGTGGTAGCCACACCAGGAGCTCCTTGAGAATGGGGACCCCAGGCCGCGCCTGCGTTCCCTCATCAATGAAATGAGGGTAGGTGCAGTGAGGATGGCGTGTGGCCAAGGCCTTCCTCACCTATCAGTCAAACCTGGGCCTCCGTCATGCTGTGGTCTTGTCATTCCTCCCATATCCAGGGTGGGGGCACTGGAGAGCTGAGAGCTTCAGCAGCCTGAGGTCCAGCAGAGTGGGGTGGCTGGCTCAGCCTCATGCTTCCATGCTGTCACGCCCTCCACCCCTCAGGGCTGAGGGCTTTGTGTACATTACCCTTCCATTTTGCCTAGGAGGAGCCTGAGACTGAGAGGCAGGTGTTTAGTTTAAGGTCACGTCTCTGCCCCCAAAGCCCACAGTTCAGATGAGTAGCGGCCAGCAAGAATATCTTGCATGTCTGTCCTGTGTTTAGCCCTGTGTGGGTGTTGGGGACACAGATGACTGCGACATTGTCCCCGACCTCAAGCTTTCATTCAGGGTGAGGGTACCAGGCATGCAGGCATGTCACACAGCAGTGAGGAAAGGTCTCAGGCTCTAAGTGGTACAGAGTGTTTGAGGGAAGGAGAGATCAGGGACAGTTCACAGTGATGTCACCTGAGCGAGGTTTTGAAGGATGCATAGGAGTTTGCCATGTGCACATAATGTGTGTGCATCTGTCACTTCCGTCAAGCATCTTGGGATGCCATCAACCTGGATCTGTTGATGTCCAATGTTACCTGGGAAATGTCTCCTTTCCCAGGTAACATTTTCCCCTTCTCTCCTGGCCTCGGCAGGTTCTCCAGAAGCTGGGGAAGGCAGATGTGACCAAGGATGAGCAGTTTGAGCAGTGCGTCCAGAACTTCAACAAGCAGCTGGTGAGTGTGGGTGGCCCCTGGCCTTAGGGAGTTTGTGAAAATTCAGCTGCCAGCTGGAAAATATCATGAACTGAATTTGTGGAATACGAGAGCTTGGAGGATAGAAATCAGTCTGGGCTGACAAGATCATGGAAGACTTCCTGGAGAAGGCCGCACAGGCTATGCCTGCTGGGAAAGAAGAGGGTGGGGGTATGTCTTCTTTAGGTCCTTGGTAAGAGACATAGAAAGGGTAGCTGGGGGAGAGGGAGGGTGGGATAGGAGCAGGCAATAGACTGTGGTCAGACTCGGGGAAACTTTTTGTGTCAGGGGCAAGTCGTAGCTATAGAAGCTTCTTGCCAGGAAAGTGGCAACTGCAGCTGTTAGTGTGGGGGCGGAGCAGGCTGGATTTGATTTAGGCATCTGCTGAGCATGGTGAGTGCCTGGCTCTGTGGCAGACTCAAGGCTGGGCCAATTGGATACTGCCGCGGACACCTCCTAACGGCTCTGTAAGGCGCCCGTACCATCGTTCCCCTTTTGTAGATGAAGCAGCTGAGGTGGAGAAGTTGGATAATTTGCCCAAGGCCATCTAGCTCTGGAAGTGGATTCAGATCCATACTTGCCAACTCCAAAGCCTGGAAGGGACTTCCAGGACATCCTTACCAAGGGCCATTATAGGCCGGGGTCCAGTGACAGAAGGGAGTGGTCACACTGGCACTCTGGGGAAGTGGTTGGATATAGAGAGGGCTTTCCTGCTGAAGAGCTCAGAATACCTGCCCTGGGCTGCCCCTGAAGCTTCCCCTGGAGATCTGCTAAGTCCGTAGCCACTGCTGCAGCTGTGTGAGGATAGGAGATGACAATTCCCCCTCCTTGGGGAGGGCTGAAGTATCTAGGAGGGTGAGCTGCACCACGGCTCTCTGGCTTTTGCAGGCCAGCCCCAGGGAGTGACAGGTGGGGAGGGAGGCCAGAGAAGGAGGCCAAGAGGAATGGGACCAGGCATGGGGTGTGAGGTCAGAGTCTAAGCTCACCTAGGGAGAGGGTGGGGTGAGCCCCTGGGCTCTAGGGAACCAGGCCTCTCTATACTCTTTGTCCATGTCTGAGGCCTTGGAAAGCACTGAAGGCGCCCACCAAAGCCTCTGCAGCTGGCGTGGGACCTGGGGAAGGGGCCTTCTTTGGAGAATCCTGACCGCTCACTGGTCAGGTTCTGAGAGCAGCTGGTGAGGGCCAGGGAGCAGCTGGGAGGGCTGGGGAGCAGCCAGGAGGGCTGGGAGCATTCTGGGAGAGGGCTGGGAGCATTCTGGGAGGGATAGGATGCAGCTGGGAGAGCTGGGAGCATTCCAGGAAGAGACCTAGAGCAGTTGGGAGGGCCAGGAGCATTCCGGGAGAGGACCAGGAGCATGAGGAAGAGGCCCCAGGGTCAAACCAGCCTTGGCTTGCCAGAGGGGTGCACCCTGATGGGCTTCACCGGACAGGGATTGGGGAGCCACTTTGGCTGCTTGTCCTCTAGGCCAGTTATGGGAGGAGTTTCAAGGCCCAGGTAGACGCCATGACAGGGAAGATCTACTGCCTCTGTATATAGGAACTTCCCAGGGCCCCTTGGGCCTCAGTTTCCTCATCTGCAAAATATAGGCTTAAACAAGAAACCTGGTCTTAGGTTCCAATTCTGTCTCTGGGAAGCCCCGGGGCGTGTCCCTTCTCAGCTGGCTTCATCGGGTTATCAGTTGCTCCGAAGGCTCTTTAAGGAGTTGCTGTGGCCATGGGCCAGGAACTGCTGTGTGTTTGACAGACATCTTTGCAATCCTTGAAATGGATGCTGATATTCTCTTCATTTTGCAGATGAGGCACTTGAGGCTCAGAGAGGTTAAGCACATCTTCCAGGGCTACACAGCTGGCGTGGGTGTTGGGGATTGAAATGCAGGCTCTGTGGCCTTTGGCTCACTCTTGAGTTGCCTCTTGGAGCTGATCCCTTGTCCTGAGGGCAGCTGGCTAGGCTGGGGGACAGGTTAGGGGTGGAGGTGGTGGGGGTTCCTTAGAACAGACTGAGCTTTGGCAGAGAGTGAGGGAAGCACAGGTCTGGGAGCTGGCGTTTCTTGTGGCCTGGCCCCAGGGCTGAAACCGCAGTGTTGCTGTGCCCACTGTCCCTCAGAGTCACCCTCTTGGTCCCTACTCTGGGCAAGCAGTCACTCACTGCTCCTTGGACAGAGGGGCTGGGCAGAGAGGCCAGGGCTAAAGATAGCCAGTGCTGAGCGCTGCCAGGTGGCTGCCAGGCTGTTGCTGTGGAGTGGTCCCAAGCTGGGCCTCTGTCTGCTCTCAGGCTCGGGTTTGGTGGGGTGGCTGGCTTTTTAGGGGCCATGGATGGTAGTTGGGGTGTCAGTTTTAAAGTCTTGTTCAAGGCTGGGGCCAAGGCAGCCAGTTCTGGATTTGATTGGTGTGTGGGAGTGGCAGGGTGTGGGGCTGGATGTGGGACTGGGAGGGAATGGGGTGAGGGTCACTTATATCAAGGGAGTGGATTTAGGAGGCTGCAGTGGGCTTGGGGGCCCTGGAGAAGGAGAGAGAGAATGGGGCGTGGGAAGCCTGGAGGCTGAGCTTTTTCCTGCCTCTTTATCTGTGAGCCCCACACCTAGTGGGCTTAGCGCTAGGAGGGATAAGGATGGCAGGTGATTTAGTCTTTGAAGACGCGAACCTCTCACTCTTTATGTGTGTGTGGGGGGGTCCCTAGGAGAGGGTGTAGGTCACTTTGCTATCACTTGCTCTCACAAGGACCCAGGTGCGCAGCCCCTCCTGGGCCCACCTGCTGCTGGTCACAGTGGTGGCCCTGCCTTCTGCCCTTGCTCTACGAGCCCATGAGGGCCCCTTGCCCTTCCCCAGAATACTGCACACCCGGCACAGGCCCTTCTGGAAGCCATCTGGGTCTCTCAGGGAAGCCTGGCTTTTCTTCCTAGGGGCCGCCTGTAGCCCTCCACGCCCCAGGGCTGTCATTGCTATGTGTCTGTCACTGAGTTGGGACAGGTCTGATGCCTTCTTGTCCTCAGGGCCCACCCAAGGTTTTGCTCAAAGTGGGTGTCCCTGGCTATTGAGTGATGGTCACTTCCGGCATTGATGGGCAGGGGGCGAGAGTCAGAGCTGGAGCTAAAGGGTTCCCTGTGGGAGGGGTGTCCCTGCCCCCTACACCCACTGGGAACACGGGGACTTGGGTGCTCAGGACACCTGTGGGGACTGATATCCAGGAGATGCAGCAGGGTGGTAGGGATGCTGGCTGAGCCCAGCCACACTGGAGATGCCCCTGCCCCTTCCTGACTTCCCCAGGTTCTGTATCTGGGACATGGTCTGAGGTGGGCAATGGCTCCTGAATCTTACCTTCCCCCACTGGACTCTGTGAACTCTGGACCTCCAGAGAGTTGTTTCTCAGATCCCTTTTTAGGGGCTGAGGGAGCTCATGGGCTCCCCCCAGCCTCTGTGTGCCGGGGCCGGTTGCTGACCCTCTGTCTGCTTCTGTGCTGTCGGGTGGGGCAGGGGTGTCAAGATGACTGCATGGAAGGTGCTGACCGCCAGGGCACCAGGGCAGGAAGAGCGGCCCCAGCTGCGGACAGGGAGAGGCCTGGAGTGGGGAGACAGAAGTGGGTTTGAGGGTGTTGTGATGGGGGTGAGCCTGTGGAGGTGGCCGGGTCCCTGCTGGCCTTTGCCTGGAGATTGACCTGAATGGATGGGGCCACCTTCCAGCTCTTGTGCAGGCATGAAGCTGGCCAGGCTGGAGCTCTGCAGGTGTGCTGGGTCTCCTAGGACCGGGCCAGCTGTCCCTCCTCCGGGGCAGGAGGCATCCAGAACATGGATGTCTCTGAGGCTTGAGCTGGTGGCAGGCAGGAGAGGCCAGGAGGGTGCCCTTCTCTTTGAAGGTCAGCCTCAGCCACCGCCGCTCTCCCAAGTCCCCTCTCTGCCTTGCATTACTGTCCTTAGCATGAGGCACATCTCCTGAGCCTGCCTTCAAGGTTTCGAGGCCTGGCCCTGCTCACTGGATCTGAGAAGTGCCAGGTAAGGATCATTTACCTTCCGCTGCAAGATGAGGAGACTGAGGTTCAGAGAGGCTCACTAGCTTGTTTAGGGCTGAGTAGCTAGTAGGGGATAGCTGGGTCTGCATGGCCTCAAAGCCTGTGTGTGGTCCACTCTTTACACACGCTTTTGGAAACTTCTGCATCTCACTGAGTGCGGTCTGACCTCAGAGCTGGCCTTGCTTATTGTTCACCCCTCCTGGAACCTGGAGTTCTTCACTCAGCTTTCCTGGCTCTGGTTTTGATGGCCAAGAGGGACCTGAGGCCTGTCCCATGCTTCTAGCCTCTCTGCTGGTCCTGCTGTCCCAGGAGGCCCCTGCAGACCACTCTCCCAGCTCAGGGAGCTTCACCACCCAGCCCGCTGCCCGCTCAGCCTTTTCCCTCTACAACCCGTGTCCCTAGTGTCAGCTGGGCCAGTGTCCTTAGAGTCCTGGCCATGACCCCCGCATTCTGCACCTCTGCTCTCATGCCACCTCTTCTGCAGGTCTTCTGTCCCTGTAAAGGCTCAGACCGGGCCTCCTTTCCCTAGTACGAGGCAGTGGGAGCTCTCTGTCCTTGGGCACCTCCTGAGCTTGTGGCGCAGGGGGCCTGGCAGTCACCACACTTGCCTTGGCCATACTCCTGTGCTCGGTCACTTGTCTGCAGGTGTCTGAGTGCAGGTCTGTGAGTGATGGTCCTGCTGCTCATGGGTGTTGTGTGTCATTCAGCCATACCCACAACCTGTCATCTTGGAGATGGTCCTTGTCTTCCTGCCTTCCTTCCCAGGCTGAGTGGCATCTGGAAGAGGGCAGGTGCCAGCAAACACAGCAAATGTCTCTATGGACTCAGGGTTCCTGAGGCAGGGGTGACGACCGCAGCTGCTGTCCTGTTGGGAAGTCAGGTGATCAGTGGCTGCTGCCAGGAGAGCAGCCTGGTTGGTTCATTCATGTGAGGGTGGCAGGAAGGAGGGGTCAGGGACTGGGTGGGCCACCAGTCTTCTCTTTGCAGACTGAAGGCACCCAGCTGCAGAAGGATCTCCGGACCTACCTGGCCTCCGTCAAAGGTAGGAGGCAGGCAGGGCGCACCCATGGGGAGCTGGTGGGTGCTGAGCTGGGACTGTGGGCAAGGGCTGTCAGTGGGAGGTCTGCACCTTTCCTTCTTGGGACTTCATGTGCTGTGTGCCCTGGGGCAAGGTGCTCTCCCTCTCTGAGGGTTCTTCTCCTGACACGCCCTCACACCAAGGTGGGTCAGATGGTGGGTCGTGGTTGTTCTTATTTGTGTGTTATGGCTGACGACTCACAAAGCCTCCCTGGCTGACCCCAGTCCTCAGCGTATCTGATCCTCACAGTCACCACTAGGGCAGGAAATGTTGCCCCCATCTTACAGATGGGGAAACTGAGGCTCTGAGAAGCCACTAAGCTGTGAAGAGATGGGGCTGGGACTGGTCCCTGGGAGGTGAGCACTGGGGTGAGGGTGGCCCAGCACCCTGGTGGCACTGTCGTGTTCTTGCCCATCTCAGAACAATGATGTGCTGTGGATGGATTACCACCAGAAGCTGGTGGACCAGACGCTGCTGACCATGGACACGTACCTGGGCCAGTTCCTTGACATCAAGGTGAGAGGCCCACTTGCAGATCTGCCCACTTGCAGGTCCCTTGCTTCCTGGAGGGACTTGGAGAGAGGACAGGGCCCAGGGCATGCGGCTCAGGCCAGGAGGAGGCGGCCCTGGAGGCAGGAGGCCCCTGGCCTAGTATTTTATCCTCCAGAGTTGCTTCCTCTATTGCCAGCCCGCCGCCCCCATTCCCCAGACCTGGGTCTTCCTGTCCCTTTGGGTCTCAGGGCTGTGGGAGGAGGTCCTATGGCATGCGTGTGTGTGTGTGTGTGTGTGTGTGTGTGTGTTGTGTAGTGGCTGGCTGTGTGATTGTGGAAGGTGTAGAAAGCAGAGCAGGGCCGAGGGATGTGTGTGCCTGCAGGTCCCCTGTGTTTACACCCCGTGTACTTGGAAGGGTATGTGTGCAAGTCACCCGTTGTCTGGGTCTGCATGTGTGGGTGTCTTTGTGTGGTTGTGTGCATTCACAGCCTGCTGTCTCTGCTGGGCCTGGGTGGGTGCTAGGAGCTGGCAGTGTCTCTGGTCTCCACCGAGGTGAGTGATCTCCCAGTGACGTGCACTTGGAGCCGAGGCTGATCAGTGGGTTGACGAGATCCCCTTGGTGGGTGGGATGGCCATGCTGGCCTCAGGGCCCCCAGTGCAGTTGCCTCAAGCTCCCCGAGTCTGATGTTGGTGGCTCTGGAGATAAGAAGCCATGGGTCAGGCTGAGGAAGAGACTTGGCTGACACGTCACCAGCTGGTGGACGCGGACACATGGGCTCATGTGCAAGAAAATGTTTCACACAGTGGGGCTGGACTGCTGGGAGGGGTGGGCTCTCTGCCACCAGAAGGGTTCCAGCAACCAGGGCTCAAGGGCTCCTGTGTAGCCGGGGTCTCCTGCTCGCCCTAAGGGTCCATCCAGGGTCTCTGGAGTCTCAGGAGGGATGCCAGACCCCACTCAGCACCCTCCTCCATCTGCCCCAGGCACGCATCGCCAAGCAGGGGCGCAAGCTGGTGGACTACGACAGTGCCCGGCACCACTACGAGTCTCTGCAAACCGCCAAAAAGAAGGATGAAGCCAAAATTGCCAAGGTAGGGGCTGGAGGCGGTTTGGGGCGGCGTCTGCAGGGGGCTGAGGAAGGCAGGTGTCCAAGATCCAGGGGTGGAGCCTTCCTCCTTCCTGGGCCCAGGTGGCTGAGCTCGGGGGTGGGGACAGTGCTGGGCCCAGGCCGGTGAGTGAGAGGCTTCTGTGGGTGCCTGGGTGGGGCTCACTGTAGGCCCATTCCTGGCCTCACAGCCCCGATTCAGGCCACCCGCCAGCCTGAGAGTGGGCCTCGGGTCTCCCTGGAACGGTGCCGCCCTGCCTGGTGAGCTGGGTGGAATTCTGTCACGAGATCCCAGGTGACTCGTCCCTGGCTGGAGGGAGCTGGGGGATGCAGGGCTGGCCCCACTTATCCTGCGGCGAGGGGCTGGGGCAGCCGCTCCTCCAGGCAGGGCCCTGCTTGCCAGGTCCCCTGTGCTGCTAACCACGCTCACCTTTTGCCTCTGCAGTTGGAGTTCACCCCCTCTCTTGGCCCCCTCGGGCTTCCCCTGATTCTCTGGGCCTCAAAGGCCCATATCTGCTTGGGGCGGCCCCTGCGTGTGGGGCGGCCTCCCTGGTCTCTCCACCCTCCTTTGCCTTGACCTCCCCACCCCAGCCTGTCTCGCTGCTTGAGAAAGCCGCCCCCTAGTGGTGCCAAGGCAAACTGCAGGCTCATCTCGTAGCTCAAACTAACCGGCTCCGAAATCAGGTGAGGCTGGCTTCTAACCTTGCACGTGCTGGTGCCTTCCGGTCTGTGGTCCTGTCCTCTCGCCCTGCGCCACCGGGATGCAGGGCTGGTGTCTGAGCCCGGCAGGCCGGGCAGGGTGTTTTCAAAGGCCTCCGCTCCGCAGGAGCAGGGAGAGCTCCTGCTTCAGAGGAGACTTGAAGTCAAATGGAGGGGTCAGAGAACCGGCTGAGGGGCTCCGTGTGACCTGGGTGGGGGCATAGGTGTGCCCGCTCTGCAGCTGCATCTGTGGTCATTCCTGGAGACTCCTCTGAAATCCTAGGTGCTCCAGGAATGCCTTTGAACCATCTGCCCTCTGTGAGGGAGGCGACATCATCAGGCCACTGTGCTGCCATGCCTGTCTCCTTCAAGCCTCATGACAACTCTGAGATCATCTTGAATTTACGGAGCAGACAAAGCTTCCCAGAGAGGCACATCACAGCCTGGGGCCTGAGCCAGTTAGGGGAAAGTTGGGGCTCTCCTGACTCAAGCCTCTGCATCATTTCCCTGGGACGTGTGGCCCCCATGGTGACTCTGGAGGAGTTACTGGGAGGACCCTTCAGTCTGGCTGGGATGCTGAGACCTGGAGGGGAAGCATGGATGCTGGAGGGTCAGCCTTTGGGGATTCATGGAGGGCAAGTGACCAACACCACAGTGTTCCTGGGGGGCTTCCTGGAGGAGGCTGTTTGTACAAAACTCCTGGGCCGTCTCACCATCTTGGCCATAAATGCTATGGTCTTATCAGCCCCCTGTCCTCCAAATGGGTCATGATGTGGCCAGGGACCGCTGGATGCAGTGCCCTGTGAGAGGAGGGTCACATGGTTTTCTTTCCAGTGAAACCGAGGCACATTTCAGGTCGGCGTAGTCATAGCCTGGATGAGGCCCTCACACGTCTTCATATTCCCAAGGGGCCAGTGATAGGGGGCTCGCCCCAGAAGGTTGGGTTTCTCTCTGGGCAGCTGCCTTATTTTTTCTAAGCTGCCTCTTGATTTTATCATTTTCATTGAGTGCCTGTGATGCGGAGAGCTCTGGGTGGGTTTGGCATGGCTTGCTGTCCAATTTTGTTTTCTATTTTTTTTTTTTTTTTTTTTGGAGTCTTGCTCTGTTCCCCAGGCTGGAGTACAGTGGAGCAATCATGACTCACTGCAGCCTCGACCTCCCCAACTCAAGCGATCCTCCTGCCACAGCCTCCCAAATAGTGGGACCACAAGCAGGTATCACCATGCCTGGTTAATCTTTAATATTTTGTAGAGGTTGTGTCTCATTATGTTGCCCAGGCTGGTCTTGAACTCCTGGGCCCAAGTGATCCACCTGCCTCTGCCTCTCAAAATGCTGGGATTACAAGCGTGAGCCACTGCTCCTGGCCTGCCTGTCCAATTTCTCACCTGATGTGCTGCCTGATTTCTTTTAGGCCAAAGCTGACTTTGGAGGCACTGAGTGTTGACAGCCTCATCCTGAGGTCAGGGTGCCCTTGGAGAGCCAGGGGCTGGGGGTGATGCCTAGGGGCCTCTGATAGGCCCGAGACTTCATCTGACTCTGGAGATGGAGGAGGAACCCAGGGCTGGACTTGGCGTGCCCTGCCATTCAGTTCAGCACTTGGGCTGGAGGAGGAAAATGACTATTGACCGAGGGCCGGGGTTTCTGAATCATCTTCCCTGAAGCAGGTGAAACATTTTCTTTGGTTGGGAGAACCCTTTAGGAGGCTATGGGGCCTGCCCTCTGCTTTTGGACTCCTGGGACGAGTGTGGCTGGGATTCCCTGCCCCACCCCCACCCTGGGTAAGGCATCTTTGGGTGCTGAGCTGTAGATGTTTCCCATTTTGGCCAAACTGGCTGTCCCATTTGGGTGCCACCTTTATTCAAGCACATCCTCCTTGTCCCCACCCCACCATACCTGGCTGGAGGCTGGAGAGCCTTTGGAGAGAACGGTTGGCAGCTGGCTGGCAGTGAGATGGGACAGCTGGGACCCCGGGGGTGCCCTGCTTGGGGACTTGACTTTGAGGAGACAGTGCATCCTCTCCAGGCTGCGCCTGGTGGGCTGGCCAGCTCCATGCAGCCCCTGGGCTATTTCTCACCTGCTCTCCACACCTGCCCTGGCCTCCTGAACGCTGTCCTCAGGACCCCAGGCTCATGTGACTCTGCCCTCCCCCACTGTTAGCTTCAGTGGATCCATGGGGGTGGCATGCCCTCCTCATGGCAGACAGCCCTCACCTCACTCCCTGCCCCTTCCACATGCTTCCGAAGGAGCCAGAACATGAGGAATGTCACCCAAAGGGAATACAAGACACGGGTCCTGACTTCAGGAGCTCTCACATGGAACTGTCCCCACTCTTGGTCTCTGCAGTGTCGGGCTGCATGAGCACGGCTGGGTGCAGAGGTGTCCCCTAGACAAGCTGTGGTGCTGTCTTCACTGCTGTCCCCACCATTGCCATCTGGGGGGTTGGGGTGGTGGCCGTGTCTTCATGGAGAGCAGGTCCTAGTGGGTACGGTGGGAGGTTGTCCAGGCAGGTTCTTGTGGAATGTGGGACTTTAGGCCCACTCCTGGCAGCGGGGGCAGGGACATGAGTGATGGTGCTCAGCTCACAACAGGACCCCTAGGAGTCACTCATTTACGGTCTCTATGGAACCATGGTTGGCAGCCCCCCTGCCAGGTACTGGGATGCCCAGAGGAGTAGGGCAGGGATGGCCCAACCACAGCCTGGAGAGGGAGGAGGGGCAGTATTCTCCACTGGCCCTGGTGTGGGGTGCCCAGGGCCCCAGATCTGATCCATTCTAAGAGAGGCATGCCCCTTTACTCTGCCTTTAAATTTTTATTAGACTCTAAAAAACCAGGCAAGGAGCCCACGCCCACTCTAGCGAGTAGCTGGATATAGCTGTTGACAGAAGCCGTTGTGGCCCCTCCTCCAGTCCCACCCCAAGTCACTGGGGACAGGGGCTGACCTGGGCTAGTCCTGGTGCCTGAGGCTGGATGGGACAGCTGGATGGGCTTGGGGCAGTTGTGTGCTTTGTGGATAAGTGGCCTTCTGGCCATCTGGCCGCCTTTGCCAGAAGGCGGCCCATCCTGAGCCCCAGCCCTGGCCTGAGAACGTGAGGCTGCCAGTGGGAAGTTTCCCTAGGTGGGGCCCGACACGTTCCTAGGCTATGACTCAGACCCTGAATCCGAGTACCCCTGAGCCATTCTCCCTGGCAGCGCCCTCCCAGAGTGAGCCAGCAGAGCCCCTTCCACCAGGCGGGGTCTGTGACTCACCGGCCCTCTGCAGGTTTTTCCCCAGCACTCCGTGGCCCTGCGATGGGGTCTGAGCGCCACCGCCTGGTGGATGTGAGCAGCCTGGAGGGCTCAGGGCCTGCCCTGGGGACAGTGTGGGCCAGGAGTGGGACCAGGCACCGTCCAGCCCCCCGACCTCCTCCTCCTCCTCGCTGGCCTGCACCCTCCTCTAGGGTCCTCCTGCCATTCCTAGAGGTGCCAGAGGAGCTGCCTCTGGTCTCCCTCTGGTGAGGACAGGTCACAGGAGAGAGGGCTTTGTGGAAGAGCGGTCCCTGTGAGGTAAAGTGAAGGCTGGTGGCTGAGGCTGCCAGGAGCTGGCCCTCAGAAACAGGGGGAGAGCCCTCGGGGTCAGGGGTGGGGCGGAGGGAAGGCAGCGACAGATGCTGCCCTGAGAACCAGAAGTCAGCAGCAGGGCTGGCACCCAGCCTGAGGGGTTCATGTGGAAGTGGCGGGGTCCCCACTTGGCTGGGTCTGGGGTCTCTCTGCGCATGCCCTGTGTCCAGCTTGCCAACCCCCCATCTTGTCCGTTTTGTTGAGCCCTACTCACCACTCACTGCCCTCTGGGTCGCCTGGGCCTTTCTTTGGCAAAGGCTGCTCGGTCCTCTCTTTCCTTGATTGTCCTGAGGGTCCTGGTTGGCCAGGAGGGGTGGGCAGGAGGTGGGTGGACTGGCCATGGGGCTGGGCTGGCTGGGAAGGATGCCCAGCAGAGGGGAATGACACGTGCTCCCCCCCAGGCTGAGGAGGAGCTCATCAAAGCCCAGAAGGTGTTTGAGGAGATGAATGTGGATCTGCAGGAGGAGCTGCCGTCCCTGTGGAACAGGTGAGGCCCGGTGCGGTGTCCACTCCACATGCTGCGGTGCCCACGTGCTGCAGTGCCCATGCCCTCTCGGGTTTGTGTCTCTGATGAGCATGTGTAGTCACTCATGGGTGGGCGCGTTTCTGAGTTGCTGCCCTCACCTGCCTGTTCACCCGGCCCCCATCCTTCCGCCCTCCTGTAGCCGTGCAGGTTTCTATGTCAACACGTTCCAAAGCATCGTGGGCCTGGAGGAGAACTTCCACAAGGAGATGAGCAAGGTAGGCCCTTGGGACCCCTCTGAGGTGCCGCACTCCGCCCTGGCCAAGGGTTGAGTCAGCGGCGTGGGAGGGGCAGCCTGAGCTCCCCCTTCCCCACCAGCTTCAGCACACACCCGAGGCCACAGCGCTTCCTCCAGGCCCTGTGGAATAGCACCTTTCAGGAGTGCCCAGACCCAGGAGGGCAGGAGGGCAGGAGGGCGTGCGGGGAAGGCTGTGAGCAGGTCTGGGTCCCTGCCTGGGCAGGACCGCCTGAGGATGTAGACCAGGCCCTTTCAAACCGTGAAGGTGTTCTCTAGCAACCTTGGCCAGAGGAGTGCCGTGTTAAGCAACGGTGGCGGTTTCCCAGCTTGTAGGAACAAATAAGTTACTACCATTTGCTCAGTTCTAATTTTTTGCCCGTGTTTCTGACACATTTAAATAGGCCTGTTTCATCTGCCTGAATCTGCTGTGCGACCGGGTCTGGTGTGACTAGCGGACCTCTGTTGCGTTATTTTCATTTTAACCTATCTGGCAGCTAAAACGCAAAGCTGTTGAACTTTGAAGTTTTGGCACTGCTCCCCCCCCATCCCCCAGTGGTGGGTCTTACGATGATGGTGGATTCCAGGCCCAGGGTCGGAGGAGGAAAAGCAGCTCAGGGCCTCTCCTGACTCACCCCCAAGTGTGGTTTCTTGCCTTTTAGGCTTTCTCTTCCTCTTCTTACCTTTTCCCCTTTCCCTTAGAAGATTTGAGACAACTTAATGAAAAGTTTAAAAAATAGAGAGAGAGGTATTTTAGAGAAGGAACATTTATATAAAATTAGTCTGCAAAAATATATGCCACAGGGCATAGTTGTTTATAAATTAGGATGAAAATTCACCTCTGAGCTACCTAGTGGCCAAATCAAAGAGAGGAATATTCTCAGTAATGAGCACATGTGCCAGGAATGAACCTCCTCTCACACCTATGCTCTCAGTGAAATATCTGGCAGATGTCGTGTGGTCTGAAAGCATCTTGGCAAAATGACCTTAACAATTAAGATCAACAGTCTGCCAAAACAATTTTTAAGAGAAAAATGTTAAAGCAGTGTAAGCCATATGGGCATTTTGGGATATTCCTCTAAATAGAAGGAGGGGAAAAGATGGCTTCCAGGAGCAGCAGGCATTAGTGATGTCGCCCCCTCTCCCCATTTCGTTGCCCCTGTGGTTTTTCTGGGTTTGGTGTGCTGGTTCCTTGCTCTCACAGATGGGGAAAGAGGAGCTTGTTCCTGGCAGGGGGTGGGGACAGTGGGGAGAAGAAGAGGTGTTTGGGGAAGGTGGGCTGTTTGGTGGCCCCGGAGGCCCCCCTCCTCCTCACTGTCTCTCCCTCAGCTCAACCATAACTCAACGACGTGCTGGTCAGCCTGGAGAAACAGCACGGGAGCAATACCTTCACGGTCAAGGCCCAGCCCAGGTGCGTGTGGGGAGGGCCCTGGCCCCCTTGACTCTGAGCACGGCAGGAGCACGGATCCTTCCTGTGACCCTGTTGGTGCCCTCCCTGGTCTCCTGTGGGTTTGGCCTTGGGAGTCTAGGGACGTCCATGTCTTGGCCTCTCTGTGCTACCAGAAGCAGGTGAGGGCAGGTCTCTGTCTTGATTGTCCCTGCCGCTCTGGCTCTGTTCGTCAAGGAAGGAGCACTCTGCAGAGCCCACGGGTCCCGGAGCCGGCTGACCCCATCACTGTGAAGCAGGAGCAGCCAAGGTTGGGGTGGGCAGCCTGCTCAGCTTTGGGGGCTGGGAGTATGAACAGGACTGACTCTGGGGTGTGCAATCCTCTCAGAGCAGGGAGGTAGTGTCCCCTTCCGTCTCCCACTCCTGGAAGAGCTCTTGTCCCTGGATGGTATCATTATGCTCACCCAAACGGGGTCCTCTTCCCGTGCTCAGCCCCAGTCCCTCTGGGAAGCCCGGCTTCGAGGGGGTCTCTGCTTCCTGAGGGGACAGCTTGAGGGAGGAGGGAAACACCTCACTCCCTGGCTGTGGATCAGAAGACACAGCAAGCCTGGGAGGCCTCCTTTCTGGCCATGTGTGCATGTGTGCGTGTGATGGGGGCTGTGTGTGATAGGTGTGAGTGCATACACACATGAATGTCTCAGCAGAGGGCGGAGAGCACTGATGAACCCTGTAAAACCTGGCAACTGTCTGCTTCCTGGGCTACCAGGAGTATTGCCTGGGATGATGAGGGTATCGGGTGGTGGTGATTAACCCCTACTTCCCTGAACATAAAATAGGTGTGGCTGACAGAGGGGGCGTGGTGCCCCCGTGGGGGAGTGGGGAGGTTAGAAGGGTGACATGGTGGAGGGCGGGGAGGGGGAGTGTTGTGGAATAAAGGCCAAAAGGTGAATCCAAGGTCAGGCAGGGAGGGACAGCTGGGAACACCAGGATGGGTAAGCAGGGGGACATATGTAGGCACAGGTGGGAACACTAGGATGGGTAAACAAGGGGTAGGGGTGGCCGTCCTGGCCAGAACCTTGGCTTCCTTTGGGAAGGGGGTGGAGGGAAGAGAGAGGGCAGTGGAGGCCCAGCAGCGTCCCTTCCTGCAGAGTGGCCCCTTGTGTTAGGCTGGGGGACTTTCTTGGCATTCTGGGTGCACCTGGAGCCCCTGGGGACTGGGACCACAGGCAAGGCGAATCTCCCTTGCCCCAAGCCTCCTGCCCCTCACCAGGCCCTGTTAGCTTCACCCCGGGCACCTGGCCACAGCGGAGACCAGCCAGGTCATGGGGGATAGTAGGTACAGAACCTCTGCAAGGCCCTGGTACTTAGGAGAGGCTTTTGCCCCTTAGTCCTCTGAGCAGAGAGGTTGACAAAGAGGGAAGGGGACAGGCCAGTTCTGCACCTGGCCTTTCCCCAGAATGAAGGCCTCCATGTCCGGTCCGTCCCCACAGAAAGAAAAGTAAACTGTTTTCCTGGCTGTGCAGAAAGAAGAACAGGTACCGGCAGTGAGTGCTGTGGAGGGGCGCCAGCGCCCACGGCCTGGCCGGCCCTGTGCATGCACCTTGCGCTGGCTCCCAGCCACCACTAACCCATAACCTGGCTCCGTGTGCCGTGCTGTCCGGCAGAGCTGTCCTGTGTGTGTCGGGTGGGAAGGCAGAGGCGGTGCCAGGCCTCTGAGCAGCTGGCTGGATTTAGCACGTTCCTCTGGGCGCCCCTCACTTGTCCAGCCCTGGGAGGGGCCCAGGCCACCAGTGCACTTACCAGTGGAGAACGCAGCTGGGAAGGAGGCCTGGGGAGAGCCAGGGAGGAGACACTGCAGCAAGGTGGGGGATTTTTGTTTTTCAATTCTATGTGCATACTATGTGTATATACTGACATATATTTTTTAAGGAGGATACATTCCCATAAAACACAAATTCCAAAAGGGAAGATGGGGTCAGTGACATCGCCTATGCTGTTCCATTGTTTGTCCCCAGGTGACTTGGTCACTGGTTGCCGTTGGATGCTTCTAGACCTGCAGTGCCCAGCACAGAAGCCAGTTGTCCCATGGAGCTATTGAGCACTTGAAACTGGCCAGTGTGACTGGGCAGCTGAACTTTTCATTTAAATTACATGTAAATTTCATTGATTTGAGTTTGCATTGCCACCTGTGGCTAGTGGCAACTGTATTGGGCAGCACTGTTCTAGGCCTCTCTATGCAGATTCTGGTAGGGAATTTTCTCCCTGCACCCTCGCCCCGTGCCTGGGTGCACAGCATCACACCACGTCCCCCTTGGGTTTCGACACTGAATGCCATGGCTTGGGACCTACCCCCTCGATCCCCAGCTGCCCGCTGCTCTGTGATGAGGGTGCCTGTCTGTCTGTCCAGGCCCTGCTCATGGCCTTCAGTGGCCGAGAGGAAAGGCGAGCCAAGGTCTGGAGACATGTGCTAGGGTGCTGTGATGGACAGGCAGGGAGGGCAGTGAGGAGGCCTGAGGGCAGCAGGCTGGGGAGCAGTCCCCAGAGCAGAGGGGCTGCTGTGTGTGGCATGGGAGACTCACTGTGCCTCTAGGATGTCTGGCTTCTTCCTGCTGTGGATCTTGGGCTGTCAGCATGGGCCCTGGTGGACCTCATGGAGCCTGTGGGGTGGTTGGCCTCTGCAGCAGGTGATTCCGAGGGACCTGCCTGCATTCCTGGGAACCATTGACCTCCAGCCTGGAGTCCCACCTTGTGCTGTTCCTGTCTCTGAGGCAGGCTGCCCACTTCCAGCCCTGCAAGCCTAGGTCCCTTGGCTACCCCCACCCCCCCTGCGTGCGCGCGCGCGCACACACACACACACACACACACACACACACACACACACACACACAGTTCCACTTACCCTTCACACACATGTCAGCACATTTGCCCACTCCATCTCCTGTGCCTTGGCCACCAACACTGGACTCCGTTTCTTGTTCTCCCCACAGTGACAACCCGCCTGCAAAAGGGAACAAGAGCCCTTCGCCTCCAGATGGCTCCCCTGCCGCCACCCCTGAAATCAGAGTTAACCAGGAACCAGAACCAGCCGGCGGGCCCATGACTGGGGCAGCCCTCCCCAAGTCCCCGTCTCAGGTAGGAGTGATAGCTCAAGTGGCAGGTCCCCTGCCCTCCCTCTTTCTCCTCTGGCTTTGCTCTTTCTGGCCTGGGCAGCTGTGGACCTGAGCTTCACCCAGTGGGGGGTGGGCCCAGACCTCGGTCTCCTTCCACCCCATCCAGCTTTTCGTGCTTCTGGGAGGCATCTATGACTGCCACCTCTCCCCAGCTCCCGCCCCCACTGTAGCACCCTCCCCTTCCTTCTCCCTGGCCTTTTGGCTGCTTGACTCTGTCTGCATCTTCCTTTCCTCCCTAGCAGAGGCTCTGGGCCCTCAGCCCACAGAGCATCTGGATCTCCGGAGTGGGCAGCCTGCCCCTCTTCCTGGCCTGTCTTTCTTAAAGGGGCCTGAGGGAGGAGCCCAGCCAGGTGGCCATGCGGGACCTTTAAAGGGACAGAGAGAAGAAGCTCAGGGGAGAGTGTGGGGTGCCTAAGGGGGCAGGTCTTTGGCTCTAGACTGTCCCTGTCTCCACCCCTCTTGCCCCCAGTGGGCCCTCCAGGTGTTTGCAGAGGCTCCAGGCGCTGGCTGGCCAGGTGGGGTATTCTCACAGCCAGGTGTCCCACAGCTCCCCCTTCTCTGCTGCTGCCCTGCTCCACTGCTGACTAGGATGCAGGCCGAGGACATGGTGGGAGCCTGGACAGAACAGTGCTTCCCCTGGCCTGGACATGGTGCCAGCGCCTTCTGTGTTTTCATTCACTGAGTCCCCATAATCCCCCTATGAAGCAGAAGCTGTCATCACCTGATTGGAGGAAGCTTAGCCTCATGGGGGCATGACCTGCCTGAGATCCCCCACCTGGTAGGCAGGGATGTGGCCTCTGCTCCGTTCTGGCCCCACACTGGTGTTGCAGGGACAGACTAGTCTGAGCTGGGCTCCCCATGGGCAGCACTGTGCCTGGGAATGGAGAGGGGCCTGGGAAAAGGGCAGAGGTGGGCAGGAGAAGGCTAGGGCTCAACTGCATCTCAGCGACTGTTTCCTTTCCCAGTCTTCTCACCAGGGAGCCAGACCCTCCCACAGTGGGCCAGCGGGCAGCCTGGGGCCTCTCTCTTCTCTCTCCCTCCTTTCTCTCCCCTTACCTCTCTATCTTTTCTCTCTCCACACAGCGTTTCTGGATCTCCTGCCTCAGTGTCCTTCTCGGGGGTGGCCTGCGGTCTTGGTGTCTATGTCGGGGAACTGGGGGGGTGCAGTGGCTCTTCATTTGCTGTGTCCTGCCCAGTAGCCTGGGTGGGGCTGTGGCCTGGGGTGTGACTAACCGTGTCTTTGTCTCTGTCTGTCTCCCCCAAACCCCTTGCTCTGCTGTGCCTTTCCTTGCGGCCCCTCACCCGCCGCCGACCCACAGCTCTGGAAGGGCCCACCAGTCCCTCCGCCTCCCAAACACACCCCATTCAAGGAAGTCAAGCAGGAGCAGATCCTCAGCCTGTTTGAGGACACGACTGTCCCTGAGATCAGCGTGACCACCCCCTCCCAGGTCAGCCATGGCCACCGCGGCCCAGCCCTCCTCTTCTCTTCCTGCCCTCTCAGGTGTGCATGGCCTTCATCCTTTATGCTTCTGTCTCAGGAGCCAGGAATCTAGCCAGAGAGTGTCAGTCTCCCTCTCTCACCCCTCCTTCCTTCCACCCATCATCTTCCGTCATCTTCCATCACCCATGTCCCAGCATGTACTAAGGCCAGATGCAGGGCCACAGAGGGGAGAGGTGCCCCTCTCCTAGCAGCAGCAGTCATGCCAGCAGTGCCCTCGAGGTGCAGTGGGTGCTATGGCAGAGGGGATGGGGTAGGGTGAAGGACCCGTGGCTGTCAGGGAAGGCTTCCAGGAACAGGGAGTGTTGGAACACCCTGCAATGGCTGAAGCACCAGGACTTCAGCTCCCACAGCTGCTGTCAGCCACTTGAGGGCAGGGGCAGGGGCCAGGCTGCAGAGCAGAGCTGCTGTGTGCACACTCCCTAAGAGGCATGGAAGGCCCAGGTGCAGCAGCGAGCCCCCAGGGTGGCTTGGCTCTCTCCCCACGGGCCCTTGGCTCAACAGGGAGTCCCCTAGAGGGTTATGGGTCTCTTCTGATGGGTTCTTGGCTCAGCTGGGGAGCTGCCTCTGGGGAGCCTGGCCCACAGCCCCAGGTCTCACGTCCTTCATGGTGGAGCCCTGGTGGGAGTGCCTGTGCTGGAGGCGCATCGCACCAGTGCTGCAGTGGGCTGACGTGTTGTCAGATTTGCCCAGGGGTGGCGGGGCTTCCCCGAACTCCCCCAGAGCTGACTGCCTCCTCAAGGACAGCCCTCTAGGCCTCAGCACGGGTGTGGCCCCAGGGATCCCTGGAGTCATTGTCCCCACCCGTGCCAGGGGCTCTAAGGAAGCCCCCTCCTCCCATGGTAGTCTGGCCCAGCTTACAGGGAGGCTTGTCACAGTGTGGCCAGGGCCACCATGTCCCATCGCTGGGATAGTGCCTGCCACATGCTTATTCCTGGGCTCACTGGAAGGGGATCTGGTGTGTGGGAGGGCTGCTGGGGAGGGGTCAAGGGCCTACAGTTTTAACCCATATTCCCCAGGTGGTTCTGAAGCCCCCGAATGTTGAGGACCCCCACTTTGACTCTCTCCTGTGGGTGAGCCAGGGCCCTTCCCACATGGAGCTTTGCCTGTAGGGGAGGCTGTGTAATCAGGCTACAGTGGCCTCCAGCAAACCCCTTTGTGCAGCTGCGATGCCTGGGGGACAGGTTGGAGGGGGTGAGTGTGGGGAGTGGCTGTTGGGAACTGAGAACAGTGTCGCCTCTAGGAAGGGTTGGGGATGGCGGGGCTCAAGCTTCTAGCAAGGACTAGGGCTAGAACTAAGGAACTTTAAATACGAGGTTGCAGGTGGCTGGGTGGGTGACCTCTGAGTTCAGGGGCCTGGCAGGTGCGTGAGCCCCTCTGTGGGATAGAGGGCACTGTAGGGAGAGCAGTGTGGGGCCAGGGCTGAGGACCTCTGGGGCTGCTTCCGGCTGGCCTCCCTGGCTTGAGTGTGCCTCTGCCCTGGGGTGCCCAGTGTGTGTGCAGGTGAGGGAGATGGGATGGCATGGGCACTTGCAGATACTGGATGGAGAATCGTGTCAGCCACTTCCTGTATCCCCTTGTTTGATTTTCAACAACCCTCTGGGAGGGCATCTGCCCCCATTTAACAGGTGAGGAAGGAACCTATGGCCTGTGCAGCAGGCCCATTCCAGAATAAGGTGTGACAAGCCAGGAGGTGGCCCAGAGACCACCCACACCCAGTCTCTGAGTTCGCCTGTCCCTCCCTGCCATGCCTGCCTCCCTGGCCACCGTGTGTGCCACCTCCAGGCAACTGGTCTTCCCGGTCAGGCCTGGGGTGGGAGAGCCATGCCTTTTGGGTGGTGCATGGTGCAGGGCTGGGCTTGCTCTTGTCCATGACGCTGGTGCCCACAGGCTTCCTGGCCGTGGGGTGGTAAGTAGCCTGTGTCCCAGCACGGAGGGGCACTCTCGGGCCTACATGGTGAGGTGCCACCTGCCGGGGCAGGACAGCGAAGGGATAGTTGCTCTCTGGCGGATGACCCTCCCCTCGGCGCATGGTGGGTATTGCTGCCTGGGCTTTGCTGACTTATCTGAGATGGGAGGGGGTGTTGCTGGGGCAGTGTGGGGGCCACTGGGGAGGGATGCTGGCTGCCCACTGGTGGGAGGCACCTAGAGGCTGTGCACAGTGTCCTGAAGGTGCTTTCTTCAGAGACGGCGGTTAAGGGCAGAGCAGTGACCTCCCTGCCCTGGGTTCCCCAGACAGGGCTGGACCTAAAGGAAAGTTGGCTGCTGGGATGGGCCCGGGGCAGGTCTTGGGGCCTTGGCCCTCTGGCTCCAGGAAGTGAGTCCATTTGGCTGGGCCTCTCTGATGCTTCGCCTTGGCCATGTGGACTGCTCCACGCCTTGTCCCTATGGGACAACTGGATGTTCTCAGGACTGAGGGTCTTGGGTATCTCCTGATGGGACTCAGCTCAGCTATGGAGGTGCCTCTGGGGAGCCTTGAGTGGGGAGTGTGTGTGTGTGGATGTGTGCCTGCTCTGTGCATGTGTGTCATGTTTGTGTGCCGTGTATGTGCCGTGTGTGTGTGTACACGTGTGTGCCTGCACCTGCAGCATCTGCCTGGGGTGAGGGCTCCCAGCCTAACACTAACTGCTTCCTCCTCTGCTGCTGCTGCCACGTTTGAGGCCCTGGGGCCTTTCTCGGAGCAGGCCAGTCTGCTGGACCTGGACTTTGACCCCCTCCCGCCCGTGACGAGCCCTGTGAAGGTGCCCACACCCTCTGGTCAGGTTGCTTGTGCCCACCACTGCCCATGGGCCCACCAGCCTCCAGGTGCCTGACCCTGGACTCCTGTTGCCCACTGGCCACATGACCCCATCTAGGCCTGGGTCACTGCCCCTCCTCTGCCATCTCAGCCCTTGCCCCTCATCATATCCTGGTTGTAGGGCAGGGAGCAGCCCTGGTCAGCTGGGAGAACTCTCAAGAGACGGTCCCTGACCACTTCCTGGCAGCTTTATGCTCATTTCACATCCTGGCCTAGGGTCTTGAAGCCCCCTAGAGGTCTCTGGGGCTCAGCCACCTGCACACCTTGGAGTCCAGCTGGTTCTGAGCCACCCCTGGGACCAGCGGGGGTTGGGTCCCTGGGGACTGCTTGCCGCCCTGTCTCTAACCTCTGTGCTAACTGTCCTTCTTGCCCTCATTGCTGTGCTCAGTCAATTCCATGGGACCTCTGGGAGGTAAGCTGCATGTATGCTCTGTGTCCAGCCCCTGGGAGAGCCACTCTTCCGCGTGTGCCCAGGCCCAAATGCCTTGGCCTCCTCCTAGCCCGTTCGCAGGTGCAGGCACCCCACAAACACCCCACATGTAGCACACACAGGCACGAGCTCATGCACAGGGAGCTGGCGAGGCCGCCCGTCTCCAGCCATTCTGTTGCTTCTCCCTCTGGCAGGCCCTCGGAAAAGGGGCTCCTTGGTTTAGCTAGAGACAAGGGTCCCCTGAGAGCTGGTCCTGTTTTCAGAGCCTGTGAATGTTTGCCCCCAGGCAGAAGCCGGCCAGTGATCCAGGATGGATGAGTGTCCTCAAGGTGTGGGGCAGGAGGGTGGAAGGTTCTTGGCCTCTATGAGCATTTTGACAGTGGGGAGCTGTTTGGGAGGAAGGGGAGAAGGGGAGGAATGGGTGCTTTGAGAGAGTCAGGGAAGGCAGGGTGGCTGGGTGCCTTCTGAGAGCAGGGCCTGAAGGCAGGTGCAAGGCCAGGTCACACAGGACCTGTGTCACTGTCACCTGAAAGCTCAGGACACAGAGGCTCAGGGAGGGCTCGGTACTTGCTCAGAAACTTGTGGTAGAACCAGAATTCCAACAGGGTCTCCTGGGCTCGGTCCCTGAGACCCCCTGACACGGGCAGAGGTGCTGGGAAGGGCAGGTGGGTGTGCGGGTGCCCTCGGGGCATGCACTGGCAGCCTAGGCACCTGGAAGCTCCAGAGGCTCCACAGCAGGATTTTCCTCCGGAGGAGACCAGAAAAAGCCAGTCTGATGTGAGCTGGCAGGGCCATTTTGACAAGTGGATTTCAAAGGTGCTGAGCCTGGGCAGCACAGTCACACCTGCCTGTCCTGTTGGCAGTGGTAGGAGTGAGGATGTGGGAGGTGGGTGGCCGGCTTGGCTCCACTGGTTCCCACCCTGCCCCCACCAACCCCAGCTGCTGGTGACATCTTCTCTTGTCTTGTGATCCTGCCCCTTGCTTTTCCGCCCCCGACTCCCCGCCCCCTCCCTGTTCTCCTGGTGGCTTGTCACCAGCCCACAGAGAGTCCAACTGGCAGCCTGCCTTCCGGGGAGCCCAGCGCTGCCAAGGGCACCTTTGCTGTAACCTGGCCCAGCCAGACTGCCGAGCTGGGGCCCGCCCAAGTAAGTGCCCACCTCCAGCCCCTGTCTGGCTTGTCCCCAGTCTCTGAGGGTGCAGCATGGAAGGAGAGCCCAGAGGAGGGGGTGCAGGAGGGACCAGGCCTCCATGTGTGAGGGTGAGGACAAGGTTCTGAGCAAGGCTGCCCCAGCACCGGCTTGTCACCAAGGCTGTCAGGAATGAGGGTGGCTGGGCACATCAGCCCATCCTGGTCACCCACTTCAGCTCAGCCTCCCAACCCGGCCTCCCAGAGTAGGAGGAGCAACATTTAGAGCACCTACTGGTTTATGCCAGGCAGTTTCCAGAATTTTCTTTTAATCTTCACCGTCACCTTGTGCCCACCCTGTGTTGTGCTTAGGCTGGGACAGGTGTGTGCTGCTGTCCCCTGGCACGGACCGTCTATAGGTTCATCAAGCTCCTGCCATGTGCCGGGCCAAGTGGGGTGGGCGGGTGGAGGCTGTGGCTGGGGGGGTCTTGGTGCAGAGAGGGCAGGACCTATGAGGGAGGGTTAAGGGTGGCACTCCAGGGCCTGCACTGGGCTTCTCCACAGCATGTCACTCACATCCCGGGGCCTGCCAGCCTGCCAGCACCTACTCTTCAGCTGCTTCCCGGGCCCAGGGCCCAGCCTGTCCAGCAGGGGTAGCTACTTGGATTCTTTGAGGCACTGGCCGGCTCTCACCTTGCTGCCAGCCCGGTGATGCCTGTGGCCCTCCCTGTCCCCTGCCCCCTTATTCCTGTAGCCTCTGCTTTCTTCCCTCCACGTCTCCCTTTGCTCAGGTGCTCTCAGTTCTGCCTCTGAGTCTCTCCCCGTCTCTCCTGGTGGTTCCCAAGGCCTGCTTTCTTCCCAGGACAGGATGTTTGACTCCTCCTGCCCCTCCCACAAGGTGCCCACCCTGCAGCTGGATGGCACAAGGAGCACTGGCTGGGCTCATGATGCCCTGTGTGCCGTCCCTCAAGGCAGTGCCTGCCCCCTCCACATGGGACCATGGGCTTCCCAGCTGTGTCCCCAGCTGAGGCCCACCCAAGAGGCCTTCCAGACCCTTCTCCTTCTGCTGTGGCCTCTCCATGTTAATCTCCTGGAAATAAAGGCTCCTGGTGAGCCTGGGTGGGTGCCAAATGTGTCCCTCCTGGGCCTGGGACGCTCCTGCATCTGGGTCAGTTGCCCAGCCCAGGGGGCCATGGACCCTCAGCAGGAGGCTTCCTGCTGTGTAGAGCGAAGAGCCAGTCTTTGCTTGTAGGGGGTCATTGGTGCTATGTGGGCATCCAGCTGTCTCCACTGCTCAGCCCCTGAGTGCCTCGGGCTGTGCACAAAGGGAGGGCCTGGCTGGCCTCTTCCGGCTTCCAGAGAACACATTTAGTCATCAGCACATCCGTATGAATGGATTATCAGGGCGGCTGAGGGTGACAGTGGGTCTGGCTGGGTCTGGCATGAGGCCGACATGGCTGGGGGTCCTGGGCTGGGATGCAGGGGTACCAGGCACTTACTTACTGAGGCCCTGGGGTGGGAGGCCTGAGTGATGAGGGCCTCCTGGGCCCAGCACTGATTTGGCCCTGTCTCCTAAGGCCCCAGATCTTCGCTGACCTCCCAATGGGGCAGCCCTATCTGGGTAGGATTTCAAGCAGACTCCTAACCCCCAGCCCACAGTGGGAATTGCTCTGGGGTGGCCTGAGGGGGCTCAGATAGGGCATGAGAAGGGTCTGTTATAAGTCTGGAAATGACACAGCAGGAAATAACAGAGCCCCGGGTAGGCCCCAGGCACAGTCCAGCTGCAGGGGCAGCCTTGGCCTAGCCACCATTCTGTGAAAGAATGGTGAATGTGAACGTGAGTGAATGTGTGAGTGTATGAGTGTAAATGTGTGAATATATGTGTGTAAATTTGTGAGTGTGAATGGGCAGTATGAATGTGTGAATGTGTGAGTGTAAATGAATGGTGAATGTGAATGTGTGAATGTGTGAGTGTAAATGTGTGAATGGTGAATGTGTGTGAATGTGTATGTATGACTGTAAATGCATGAATATATGTGTGTAAATGTGTGAGTGTGAATGTGTGAATGGGCAAATGTGAATGTGTGAGTGTAAATGTGTGAATGAATGGTGAATGTGAATGTGTGAATGTGAGTGTGTGAATGGTGAATGTGCGTGAATGTGTATGTATGATTGTAAATGCATGAATGTGAGTGTAAATTTGTGTGTGAATGTGAGTAAATGTGTGAATGAATGGTGAATGTGAATGTGTGATGTGTGTGTAAATGTGTGAATGGTGAATGTGTGTGAATGTGTATGTATGATTGTAAATGCATGAATGTATGTGTGTAAATGTGTGTGTGAATGTGTGTGATGTGTGTGTAAATGTGTGAATGGTGAATGTGCGTGAATGTGTGTATAATTGTAAATGCATGAATGTATGTGTATAAATGTGAGTGTGAATGTGTGAATGGGCAAATGTGAATGTGTGTGAATGTGAGTGTAAATGTGTGAATGAATGTGAATGTGTGTGAATGTGTATGCATGATTGTAAATGCAGGAATGTATGTGTGGAAATGTGAGTGTGAATGTGGTGAATGGGCAAATGTGAATGTGTGTGAATGTGGGAGTGTGAGGAAATGTGTGAATGTGTGTGAATGGGTCAGTGAATGTATGATGTGTGTGTGAATGGTGTGAACGTGTGTGCAATTGTGTATGAATAGGTGTGAATGTGCATGTGAATGGTGAGTGTGAATGTGTGTGTGACTGTGTGTGCATGTGAGCAGGTGTGAATGTGAGTGTGAATGTGTGTAAAAGGGCTAGTGTGTGAATGGGTCAGTGAGTGCAAGTGTACATCTGTGTGTAAATGTATGTGAATGGATATGTGAGTGTGGACGTGTGTACATGTGGATGGCTGAGTGAATGGCGAGTGTGCATGGGGATGGGTGAGTGTGAATGGTGAGTACCCATGTGATGTTTGTGGGATGCTTGCTCGGTTCACTTTATCCCTGCTGTGGCTGGCTTAGGGCAGTGTGAGGCTGAATGCAGCGTGCAGGGGGATACTCACCCGTCGGCCCCAGGCTCCTGGTCTCAGCAGCTCTCCCACTGGAGACTGTGTAGACGGCTGAGCCCCTCCTTGGCTGGGCTGTTTGGAGACTTGTGCGCTGGGGACGTGCTGCATCTGTAGTGTCCTGAATGGTCAGTCACTCTTGCATCCATTCATTCAGTGGCCGTTTCCCAGGCAGGCACTGAGTTACTAAGAAGATCAAAATGCCCCCCTCAGTGGACTCGGACTACTAGAAGAGAGAGGATGGAGGGGGCAGGGCTGAGAAACTCCCTATTGGGTTCTATGCGTACCACCTGGGTGATGGGATCAACCATACTCTAAACCTCAGCATCACGTAATACACACAGGTAACAAACCTGCATGCTTCCTCCTGATTTTAAAATAAAAGCTGAAAAAGAGAAAATAAAATAATAAAATGTGGTTCCTACCGCTGACGCTCGCACAGTCTAGGGGAGGCAGAGCAGCTGCGGCCACAGCGGTGCATCTGGGCGGTGCCTCCGAGGTTCTGGGGACAGAAGTGGAGCTGCCACCTGGCTTGGTATAGGGCAGGTGCCTCAGCTCAGGGAGGCTGCCTCCGGCCGGGGCACCCAGTGGAACAGGCAAGCGGACACCAGGTTGCTTGAGCTGAGTAGGACTGGAGCTCAGGAGAGTCTGGGGCTGGGAAGAGGTGAAGGTGCTGGGAGAGCTCATGGAGGAGGCAGAAGGAGGGCTGGGGCAGCTCATGGCCACCACTGTTAATAGGAGGGAAGCTGGCCGGGTGCTGTGCCTCACACCTGTAATCCCAGGACTTTCAGAGGCCGAAGCAGATCACCTGAGGTCAGGAGTTTGAGACCAGCCTGGCCAATATGGTGAAACCCCATCTCTACTAAAGAAAACAAAAACCAAAAAAAAGAAAACCCCAAAATTAGCCCGGCATGGTGGTGCATGCTGTTCCAGCTACTCAGGAGGCTGAAGCAGGAGAATTGCTTGAACTGGGAAGGCAGAGGTTGCAGTGAGCGGAGATTGCACCACTGCACTCTAGCCTGGGTGACAGAGTGAGACTCCATCTCAAAAAAAAAAAAAAAAAAAGGAGGGAAGCCTCCCTTTGGGAGGCTGAGGTGGGTGGATCACCTAAGTAAGGTCAGGTGCTCGAGACCAGCCTGACCAACATGCTAAAACCCTGTCTCTACTAAAAGTACAAAAATTATCTGGGCGTGGTGGTGAGCGCCTGTAATTCCAGCTGTTCAGGAGCCAGCTGGGAAGCTGTGTGACAGGGGCCTCAGGTGGTGGGCATCTAGGGTTCCTCCACTTGTGGGTGCCCATTGGCATCAGCGGTGCAGCCGTTGGTGGAAGCGGGTTTTGGTCCTTTCTTGTTTGACACAGGGCCGGCGGCAGCCACGGGTCCGACTTGCTTGAGGCCGGGCCCTGGGCGCTCCATCTTGTGCTCCAGGAGGATGTGATTCTGTGGCGGCAGCCCCACGCAGGCCCTGAGGATGTTCTCGATGCAGCTGCGCTGGCGGAAAAGCGCATTGATCACCCAGCTGCCCGGCGGCACCAGCGGCGCCTTGAATAGGAAGCTGAGCAGGGACAGCACCGGGTGGATGGTCTGCGGCTCGGGGTCAGCATCCGTGCAGAAGCTCATGCGCTGGGACAGCTCGGTCAGCAGCGCCAGGTCTAGCGTGATGGGTGTGGCCAGCAGCGAGTCCTCGCACGTGTCCTGCAGCACCACTGTGTTGGTCCTGCCCAGCATTAGCTCCGAGGTATACTCATCCAGCGCGCGCTTGCTGTCGCCCACTTAAGGCATGTACTTGATGACCACGCAGGGGTCGGGCTCGTCGCCGGGCGTATAGAGCAGTGGGTTGCTCTGCACCATGTCGTCCACCACGTTGCTCCTGGACACCTCCTTAGAGCGGAACTGCAACGGCGCCGACAGGTTCTGCCCATCCTTGTTGCCCAGGTGGTTGTAATTCACGGTGGACATGGTCTTGAGGCCAGAGCTGATGAGGAAGTCCACGAGCACGGACTTGACTTTGGTCTGGCCAGACTTGAAGTCATCTCCGCCCACGAAAACCCGGCACTGACACGCAAGCTCCAGAGCTCCGGGCAGCAGGGTGTTCTGCGGGGACCCACTGAGGAAGGCACAGCCCTCCAGGATGCTGGCGACGGCGAAGAGCGTGGAGGGAGACACCTGCAGGCCAAGCTCAGTGGTGCGCAGCAGGTTCTCGGCCGTGTAGTTGAGGCCTGGAACCACCTCACAGAAGCGCTGTGTTGGCCGTCCACAGCACGATGACTCTGTCCAGCCCCGCGCTAGACCGGAAGTCTGGGATGTCCTTGCGGATCTGCTCCAGGTGCTGCGCGCGAGCCCAGGATGAGGTTGTCCGCGATGAACTCGGGATGTAGACTGAAGGCCGAGGCCGCAGGGCTTCCATGTGCGGCCACAGTTGCTCCTGCAGCTCCCAATCCAGCACCTTCGCGCGCCGCATCGCCTGGGTGAGGTGCAGCGACGAGATGTCCCAGCCATCAAACACGAGGTCGTGGGGCGCCACCATGGGCAGCAGCGCACTGAAGGGCACAAACGCCTCCTGGCCCTCGGCGTCCAAGTCCAGGCTCACGGTGCCCGCCTGAGTCAGCGAGCCGTAGTAGTTGGCCTCCTTGCGGACAGACAAGTGGGCCAGGACAGACGCAGTGGGTTGGCCGGCACCGCGGCGGTGAGTTGGAGCCGTTGTTCCCGCCCCAGCCGACAAGCATGACCCCGAGCCGGGGCACCTGACGGGCGGTCCGGAAGGTGAAGCGCGTGGTCGTGGGTGCACCTTGAGGACGCCGCCCTCGCGGCTGACGCGCGTCGTCTGGTACTCGTATTGTGCCTCGATAGCCTCGGGGCCGTAGAACACGTCTGGGCTCTGGACGAAGACCTGGGCGGCGGCCTCCATCTCAGCGGGAGGCGCGGAGTCGGCTCAGACAAAGGCAGCTGACAGCGCGGCTGTAATATTTTTATACTTAAGCCAAACGTTTGACGTCTAAACCTTAAAGACAAAGGGGAAAAAACCCACACGGATTTGTTGCCCTGGAGGGCGCTGTATTCCAGTGCTTCCTGAGAAAGAAGTCCTTTGGCCCCAAGTTTGCATTGCCATTGAGCAGATGTGAGAATATTGAGGGGAAGGCAGCGTTCCTGCTCTACTTTGAGACTTTCTCCATTCCAGGTCATAAGTGTAGTTTTTAAAGCAATATCTGTATCCACCTGTGTTTTTCCTCCTAATAATTAGAAGGATGATTATCTGGAAAACTAAGCATATATTTTATTGTGCAAATATTTTAGAGCTTCTTTTAAAATTGCCTTGAAGAGCTGATGTGCTATTTCCTTTTTGGGTGTCCTCAATGGAGTACAGCATTTATTTTTTGCAAGCAAATTTCCGGAAACAACCTAAAGTCACTTGGTACCAAGGAGGTGCCTATTCAAATCAGACGGTGCTAGATATACTTTGCCACTGAAAGTAACGGCAAAAACCGCGATTACTTTTGCACCAACCTAATAGATATACAAAGGTGCGGATTGTGTGACATAGATTCTCAACTCTCTGAGAGTCATCATTAACTCTCTTCCTGGTCACCCACATGCAAGTCCTGTTGCTTCTGTGATATGTTATTAATAATAATAAATACCCATGCAATACTTCCCAACTGCAAAACTACAGCATTGAAAGTAACTTAAATCTTTCTATGTGGCCCTCCCTAGCTAGTCATGCGTTAACTCGGGTTCATTATTTTCTTGCTTCCCTTTTTATATAATTTTATTGTATAAAATTTATATATTATATAAAAATTTTATATAATTGTATTATGTAAAAAGGTAAAGGTATTGGGTACAAATATATGAGTCATATCTATTAATGTGAATGGGCTAGTCTACTAAAAAATGTCCTATTGCATTGAAATGCAAACCCCAATTTTATGCTGTATGATAAAACACAGAGATTGAAAAGGCTGAAAGTATTGTGTTGTATTTTAATTTTAATTGTTTTAACGTTATAAAAAGAATATCACGTGTTAAGTGATCTTTTGCACTTTTTAAACTTAAAATTATATTGCTATGATTCATTCAGGTTGTTAGGTTTACCTGGACTGGAGTTCGTTTATCATGACTGCTGTTGACTATTACATTCTATAACTTTGACATTATTTATTGATTTCACTATTGGTGGGCTTTTAGGTCATTAATGGTTTTGCTCTGAAAAATAGTGATATCATGAACATTCTTATACATATGTCCTGATGCACAAATGCAACCATTTCTCTAATAATACACTTTGGTTAATTGTGTTTAACAATCTACAGGTAAGAATGTAGTCATTCTGCTGTCATTTTCTGCATTCCAAACAAAGTTAGGCAGAAAGTCATGAAGAAAGTTTCCGGAAGGATTAGTTCAACTTATTTCTTACTGACTGGCTCAACTCGAAGGAGCCAGAATTATTTCTGGTCCCTTGGACATTTGTATGGTCTTGTTTCCTCTTAGTACCTGTTGTCAATATAACTGAGACAGAATAGCATAGATATAATACAAAATGTATAGAAATAAGCAGCTGTAATATGCATATGGCTAGATGAAGTTGGCAGGCCCGGTTCCATGAGACACTTCAGATGAAGGTAGGCCTCGTTCTCATTCTAGTCCTTCTTGTAGTGCAGCCTCGTTGAAATCTGGAATGTTTTCTTGGACTGCCATTTTTCATAACCATGTAGGCGAGTGTGGCTGGAAATAGCAGGAAATCCTGTATCATCCATGAAAGCAGCTCTCCCTCCAGCCAATATGATAAACAAAAGGATATTTCTGAGAGTCCACTACCTACACTCAACTTATTCATTGAATATGTATTCAGTGTATGCTAAATCTAGCATTGTAAACCACTTGCTGTTCTTGTACCATAGGCTTTTTATTTTGAAGCAGAAAGATTGCTAGTTTTAAAGGTGTCAAAAATGTAGCCTGGCCCAGCTTAAGTGTCCTTGTTTATTTATCTTAGATCTTTGGGACTTAGAAATCTAAAAAACAAAACCACCCATATTCCATAGGTGACAGAAAGATCAAAGAGCTTGAAGGAAGCAGTTCACTTGAACATCAGAGTGATGATGAGTTAAAATATTTTCTTTCTTGCATTTATCATGTTTCTATTTAAACTCAAATTCTTTTTTTAATTAAAAAATTGTGTGGGTGCATACATACATATACTTATGAGGTACATGAGATGTTTTGATACAGGCATGCAAAGTACAGTAATCGCGTCATGGAAAATGGAGGATCCATCTCTTCAAGCTTCAATCCTTTGTGAACACCAATTTCTTGAAGAGCAGGATATGCATCCAGGTTTTTAAGAAGATGATTTTTTTATTCTGAAGATCTGACCGTTTGCCTTCCATTTACAGGTATGCAGTAGGATCACTCAAGTCACAGTTTTGAATGTGCACATGCGATTGTATGCCAGGTGAAACTTTCTGCAACCACAATAGAGTTCCAAGTCTCTCTCCCCTCTTAATAGGACCTTTATACTTAATTGGCTTAATGTAGAACATTTTGACACAAAAACCCAAAAGAAGAAAACTATAATTATTTATCTGGGCTTCAGTAACTTTGGCTTTGAAATTCAAAAATAGCAAATGTACAAAAACAAAAAGAAGAAATAAAGTTGAATGAACTCAGGAGAGGAATAGATGAAAATGACAGAATGATATTACAAAGGAAGACTAAATTACAGGATACCAAAGGAAGAATAGATTCAAAGGAAACATTAATAAAGACATTGAAGAATAACAGTGGGAAAATACTAGCTAGTTAGAAAGGGTGAATGATTCCTTAAGGCCGGGCACGGTAGCCCATGCCCACAATCCCAGCACTGTTGGAAGTCAAGGAGGGTGGATCATATGAGGTTAGGAGTTAAGAGACCAGCCGGTCCGACATGGCGAAACGCTGTCTCTACTAAAAGTACAAAAAATTTAGCTGGGCATGGTGGCAGGCACTTGTAATCCCAGCTGCTCAGGAGGCTGAGGCAGGAGAATCGCTTGAACCTGGGAGGCGGAGGTTGCAGTGAGCCAAGATCACACTATGGCACTCCAGCCTGGGTGACAGACTGAGACTCTGTCTCAAAAAAAAAAAGTGAACCCTGAACAATGTTAACTCCAAGACATATTCTAATAAGTGACTAGACTTTAACAATAAAGAGAATGGAAATAACTGGAACAAAAATGCAAACCTTGCTAAATATCAAAAGAACTAAAAAGGCAAAGACCCAAGTAGAGAAACAGAGTATAATACAATAATTATAAAATAAAATGATGGTGTTGGGTACAAATATATGAGTCATGTGAATGGGCTTATCTCATCTATTAAAAAATGTCCTGTTGGGTTAAAAAGCAAACCCTAGTTTGATGTCGTATGGAATAAAACACAGCGATTGAAAAAGATGAAAGTGAAGAGCTGGATAAAGATGTGCCAAGCAGTAAGAAAGCTAGGGCTGTCGTCCTGTTACCAGAGACT